GGTTAGGCCAATGCCAGGGCTATGCCAAAAAAAGAAACACCTCAGCCGGTGCACTAAGCATGGTCAACCCTGCGGTGCGGGATGCAACTGGGTGGCTTTGGTTCTGCAGGAGGACGAGGCCGCCAAGGTGGGCCTTGGGGGGCTCCGGGTAGCTGGCATTTGACTGGGTTCAGAATCGGCACAAGTCAAAATAGGGCCCCAAAATGGAGACTCTCCTTCTGGTTGTCCTTCAAGTTTTGAAAAGAGTACCCAAAGAAAACACAAATCAATCCTTAGTCCTTATGCCGGATGCTAGTCTCAGTGCATGCCCATATGTGCCCCGCTCGGTCCTTTGGACGATGGGGCCGAGTCCAGAACTTGCTCCGTTTGGGCGAGGTTCAAGAGGTCTCCCCAAAAGCTTTGGAATTCAGGACAAAATGCCTCCAGATAGAAGAGCAGCTCATACCATCGATAAAGCTACCCGTGCCAGTGGCAACGTCGAAGTTTCTGCGCCGAGCACAACTTGAAACTTGTTGATTCCTGCGGGGTTGGTTTAATGCATGCACATAGCGCGCAGCTTGAAGCATGCCACACCAAGCGCGCGCATGCAACACGCAAGGAACTGCAGCAAGCACCCACTGTATTTCAACGCAATACACGCATCTCATTGCACCTCATTTGCTTCATCTCCAGAAATTGGCAGGCACTGCATTGACACCTTCTTCCATGATGCTCGTTTGATCGAGTTTGCTGGTGCACAGGAAACGCAGGACCAAATATGCAGCGATGCAAAGCACATGCAACGCGCGTTTGCTGCCCATCCTCGCCTGAACACGAAGCATGTTTCGTCGCTTGCAGTCCAGATGCATGACGGCCGCCGGCATACTTAGAGACCGATATTATGCAGCAGAAGCTGGTAGCAAGAGCATGCAGAACAACCTCCGCATCACAACAAAAACATTAGGAACAGTTTGCACGCTCAGGTTTCTTGACTCTTGACTTTTGTGTGCCTTTGCCCCTGAGGCCAACGCTTTCAACCTGAAGCACGCGAGGGTCGGCGCCTGGAAGTGGATGTCAAGGAGAGTAGCGCCGCCGCTGTCAGGTCATGCGCTCCGTGAAGCAGATGGGCCTCACCGCGGAAACCATGCCGCGCAACTGCAAAGGGAAGAAGGGACATCAAGGGGCAGGCGTCAAGGGACTGGACGGCGTATGACTCCAGAGTTTTGTGGTAGGCCTGGCTTGTTTTTGCGCTTTGCGCACAACGCCCTCAGCCAAGGCATGTGCGGCGAGCTCCGCAGGACAAAGATGGCTCCCGAGATCAGCGAGGCATATGCCTTGGCATGTTCAATGTTTGAAGGGCCGAGGGGTGTCCCTCGTTGGAAAAAATGACACCGGAGTCAGCAGGGCTGTTGAAGCTGTTGCCCGATTTTTTTGTTTGCAGCATATCGCGGCCACTCGGCAGGGCGGCCTCGCGCAGATGCCGGGAGCCCAGCCCAACGGCCCAGTCGAGTCGATCAAAATCAGCTGCGGGTTGATCAAAATCGAGGCCTTTTGGAAATAGATAAACGGAGCTCTCGACATAAAGTAGAGTCTCGTTATTGTAATCGCCCAAGAATACGCACGGGCGAGCGCCAGCATTCGCCTCAAAAACAAATGGGACTCAAGTCTCGATTTGAGTCCTTTCCTCAAAATATACTCAAAGTTCAAATCTTTCGATTTGAACCCTTTTTCGCGTTTTGTTTTTGAGCGGAACACGAAGTGAGTCCGGCTTGGCACTTTCGGGCCTCGAAAGCGCGAAAAAGGTGCGATCGATGTTTGAGTTCTCTTTGCCTTCGGACCTCGAAAGGGCTTTGATTCAACTTTAGATTTGAATCCTGACGAGCGGCACATGATCAGCACTCGCTGCCAGGCGCCCAGGCGGCAACGATGGAGCGGCGGTGGTGGCGGCCGCGACCGCTGGAGCCGCGGACTCGGTGCCTTCAGAAATTAGCTGATCAACTCCGTGGCAGGGGATAGAACAAAGAAATGCTCGAGCAGGCATTGATTTTAATGAAGAAAATCAAGATGTCCAGTTTCTTGGGAAATGATAGCTTTTTGGCGGCCTGCTACCACGCACGCACATACACACACATCCATTGCATATAAAACTAGAAAGAGGTGTGTAATGTGTGGGCCAAGCTGGGGCGTGGCTTGGTGGCTTCTGTGATGCCTTCCATAGGTGGTGTTCGAAACATGTCCAACCAGGAGTGCGGTTCTGGGCCTTCGCCAGGCCCTGCCGAGAAGGTGACCAGATGGATTTCGTGGGTGGTGCAGGCGGGCTACAAGGAGCGGATTGCCGACGATGGACGCATCTTCTTTTGTTTTCTTGCGGACCGTACTTGCCATTTTTGGGATTGAGGCAACTTGGTTTTCAGAGGCTTTGAGCTTTGCCTATTTTATGGGTTTCGAGCTTATCGATTCGGGGGTAGAACAGTTGCTCTGCATGATTCGTAGGTCCTTAAGTAAAGGGGGACCCTTGGCAATTTTTGGAGATTGCGGGTGAGCCGAATCAATCCACGCCACTGGCTGTGCGGTAGGACCTTGAGATCGTGCGATCAGAAGGAGGCACCAGCCTTGGGTGCAATGACCAGATACTCGAAAGGTGAGGGAATCAGCAAAGTCCCGCCCATTGTCGATTTCCTGTTTGCTTTCCCTTCAAAACGCCCAATTCCCCCGCAAAAAGCATGAAAGCCCATCCAACGGCCCTAAAACGCGGGCCTGTCCGCTGCTTAGGATGGGTGGACGTGGCAGCCCTGGCTGAAGCCATGGCGCGGGACCGGAAAGATTTGGGCAGCTTCGACCCCCTGAAGCTGAAGGAGTTCATCCAGGCCCCGCGTGCCAAGGGGTCCAACCCTTCCGGCGGGATGTCCCTTCCGGGCATGGCATGGATGGCATGGATGGCACGGATGGCATGGATGGCATGGCGTCCTTTTCGCGGAGTTTCGTCTCCGGAGGGTTTACATTGTTTCATGCCCGTTTGGACAAGTGAGATTAGAGGTGATTGGATTTGAACCGTGGGCAGACGTGATCACCAGTCGTTGCAAAAGACGTTGGGATGGCTCGTCACCCAGCGCCTGAATGGACTGTAATCAGAAGTCAGGGCCGGGCGACTTAAGTTGAAAAGGTGGCAACACGCACCTGCAAAGTTGGGAGGAGCTTGAAGGTTGGGCTTGGTGGAGGTTGGGTGGCTGGGGGGGGGTCAGTTGAGCACGGCGTAGCCGAGATGTCATGGAGAAGGCTTGGTTAGCAGATGTCGGTAGAAGCTAGAAAGGAACCCCCCTCGCAACGCCTCGCAAGCGCACATAAGTCATTGAAGTCCATAGCCAGGCGAGTGATTCAGAGGGCCGCTTCGAGATCAACGGCATGATGCAGCTGCGGAAGGTGCCCAAGGAGCAGCTTTGATCAGAAGCCCCCACTGCTCCATAGGTCCTGGTTATTTGAGAATGGCCCAGATGTCTATCTCGCACGCCTTTTGCTGGTGGATCGTTTGGTGCTAAAGTGGACAGTTGCAAGGAATGCAACAGCCACAACGGTTGTTGTTCAGAGTGCCGTGGCCATACTCCACCTGGCGCTGCCATGACGACGAGCACTGCTTGACCAGTGACGGGGTTCCCCGAAATTGCCCTTGTGATACCTGTGGAAGGCCTGCGATGACTAATTCTTCAGCTACCAAAGTGGAAACAAACCCCTCCTTCCCACAACCCTGCTCCTCAACGCAACGCTGCTGGCAGGACCTGCGCCGATCCCGTGATCAACGCTCGCCATTTGAACGACAAGCTCACCGTGATCCTCTAGAAACCGTAGAGGTAGGGAAGTTGGGAGTCAGAGTCAGAGGTTCCTTTTTGTTTCGCGGATAGCTGCTTCATTCTTTCCTTGGATGGCCCCCGTCTCACGCTGCTTCTGATTGAGGAAGAAGGCAGCAAGACGTAATTAATCTTTGCTTGTGAGGGAAGCTTGGGGAACGTGGGTAGTGTGTGCTGGCCAATCTTGATCTCTATCTTATAAGTACCCAAAAGGTGCGAGCACGGTCATTCTTGGTTATTACCTGGGTAACTGACCACTTGCTGGGCCAACCACCAAATGCCCTCTTCCAGTGATGAGGATGAGCCGTTTCAGCGGCCTTGGATGCACGTCTTGGCAGGTAGCTTCCTCCGCATCCTCAGGGTGCCGAAGGCTGGAATGGAACTGCAAGCTGCTCCAATGCAGGTTTTCCCTGATTGTTTTTCTTCTGGGGGGTTGGTGGGACCCTGCGCCTTGAGCTGTTCAGCGTGTAGCTTCACATAGCCGCCATGCCTTGCTACAGAGCTCCAGCTGTTCAGAGCAGAACTCCGACCATCGCCAGGCCCGCTTCCCCATCGATAGATTACTCTGATGATGGGCAGGTCCCTGAGAATTTGAGCCAGGCAAATTGTTTTTTCTCTAGATGGGGGAACCCTCATAATGTCATAATGCGTGTTTTCTCTATGGTCTCCGGTTAAACCAACTCCAAAAGGGCACCCTCGGAAAAGCACATCACTTGGAAGGGAGTCCGCAGCGGGAGCGCCGCAAGCTGCAACAAACACCTTGAAACTGGCAACCCCTGTCACCAGGTAAACCCCCATGTCCCAGAAAGCTGGACCCAGAGCCTCAGGCAGATGGCTGACGACCCGCAGGCCGTGAGCCCAAATTGCCTGCAGCAAAAAAGTGCTTGCAATGGTCAAAAGCACGTGGTAGGATTCAGACCGACATGGAGCAAGTCCTCTTCCAACAATGTGTTAATGGTCTGAATGGTCCTAATGGCGATGCGTGGTGACCTTTGTGGTCCGATCTCGCCAATCGAATAAGACGCAAGATCTGAACAAAACCGCAGTCCTGCCGGGGACTTCCTAGGGAGATGCGCTAGCGGCAGAGTGCGCTGAGAAGATGCGGGCACGGACTCCCAGACCACTGGACAGCAGAGAGGGCCAATACTGAGTCCCTCAAAGTGAGCACTCTCAAATTTACTTTCAGGATGGATGTCACCAGGACGGCAGAAGAATTTCACTTTCTGGTGGACCCAGTAAAGTGAGTAGAGGGCCAATAGGCAGTCCGCCGTTCCTTCAAGATTCATGTGCACTCCTGTGGTGGGACTGGCTTAGCCTGGTGCCCAGGTGTCTGGGGACGTGGAGATTGATGCAGCTCGCTTGCATGGGGGGCTCGGAGTGGTTCGATGGTGGAATCTTTGAGCAACCAGTGGCCTTCAAAAGCCTCAAGCTGTGATATTGAACTTTTTGGGAGCCACCCAGCTCCGCATATCAAGAGGGGCGCTCGCGCTCAGGTGAAGCCGGTCAAGGCCGAAGCCAGGCCCGAGAGCTGTCCACGAGCGAGCGGGCGACGACGAAATGCATTTGCCAGGTTTCCCAGTGCAAAGGAGGCCGGGTGATGCGCAATGCCGACATCCAGATCAGTTTGGAGAATCTCGTTGATCAGAAGTGATCAGCGTGGTCTAGGAAAACTGTTTGGGTAAGGTGGCTGGGGTTGCGGTTAGTTCCTGAAGTTGACAAGATCAGTGTAATTACGACACTTGTGCTTCCACATGGCCAAGGGTGCCACAGAGCCTGGCTCGTCTCTAACGGCAGGTACCGAAACCATCCTCACCACCAGGTGACCACTGGACGAGATTTCAGGAGAAGATGTGATGGATTGCTTACGCGTGGTGTTTTTGCATGTTTGTTGTCCAAAGCACGGTTTTGAGCTTGTGTGCTTTGTGTCATCGCTGGTTTTGCCTGTTTGCCTTCGTCTTGAGTTCGCTTGGCTTGCTTTAACAAAAGGCAAACAAAGCAACATATATCATTGGACAGCCGGAGCTGTAGACCGGCGGACGGCTTGGGAAATCACCACGGATCCCTTGTCTTCTCGGCCACAGCCGGTATGGCAGGACGAAGGTGGAGGCCAAGGGCTGATGCTGAATTCTTGCCGCGCACTGCGGAAGTGTGCATGAAGGGTGTCTTCTGGTGAATCTGCCAAGATGAGTGGTTGAGTCCATCTCTTGCCAGGTGACTACTGGTGGTTCTACGATGGCCCCTTAGGTATGTTTTGGGCAGGCGCGGAGGCTGCGATCAGGCCGGTTTCTTCACCTGCTCTTCCCCGAGGCGCGGATACCACGCAGATTCTGCCGTACGTGTCCGACTGAGCGAACGCCGATGCCGCCTGTGTATACATGCAGCTCTGAGTTTTTTGCATGGGCTCTGAGCCATCTGAGCCGAGCCTTTGAGCCCCGGCATTGGCAGTCAGCACGCTCTTCCAGCGCGGGCGACGCGTGCAAGGTGTGAGCCTTGGCAGACCAGCTGCGCAGGGCTTGGATGGCAACATGGCCAACCTCGGAATCGGGTGAGCTGAGCTGGAAAGACACAAGGTGAGAGCTGTCTTCCGATGGGGTTTGTTCCAGCTCAGTTCACTGTCCATTGCCTCCAGTGCAACTCATGAATGCAGCCTGTGCTATGCTTTAGATAGCCTATCCTCGGGAAGCACTCGCGAGAAACGGCTGGGCCGAATGCCAGTGATTGTTTGACATTTCTTGAAAGCAAGTGTAGAAACCTACACCCTTTCCTCTTCTCTTTGCTGATTCAGTTTGGGCTTCATCAGATATCCCCCCAACAGGTTATTGGATTCGGCATGTCATGTCCTTTCGCTGTTTCTCTTTGGGCTCCAGCAAAGTCTCGACAAGCTGTTGTATAGCGAGGGCACCCGCGCAAGGGTGCACAACTGGATGTCGACGCCCAAGGAGAAGAAAGGTGAGGATGACGATGTAGCTCGACGGCGGCTCTTCCGCGGCACGCGGCTCTGCAACTGGGCTGTTTGGGAACCCGTGTCGGGACACAGGTCGGGCGCTGTTTAGAGGGGGCATATGAGGCACGCTGTGGAAGGTTGTTTGTTCAGCCTCTAACAGGGGCCCTTTTGGGATCAAATCTGGCAGTTGCACGTCCATCAAACTCCAATGGTGCAATTTTGAGTGGCAGTTCTATTGACCCTGCATATGAGATTTTGACTTCGGGTCTGTTGCGGGGCCTGGGGCTTGCTGCGTCGGAATGCTTAGCACTTGTGCGGGATGTTCGAGCAATGAAGCAAGCTGTCAGTTCCATCGAAGTCGTGTGACCCAGCTGCTGTCAGAACGAGCTTCAACGAAACATAACATATTGTTAAACATATCCCTGGCATTTGTTGACTTTGTTCAAACTTGCACGACTCAAAGAGGTTTCTACCCATCCACATTCAATGGCGGCTTTGCAGTCCTGCTTTGATTTGCTCCAAGTTTCAAAGTACGTGTTTGGGCCTCCAATATTCTGTCTCGGGTCGCTCGATGTTGCCCTTTGGACAAAAGGGAGAGGTGCCATGCCATGCTTGCCCCAAGTACTCGTACGTTTGAGTCGTAGGGTTTCCAAGCTGTACCGTCCCCAGATTCCGAACAGATTCAAGAGCGCATGACGGATGGGAGGAGGGCACGCGGAAGGTCCTTGGAATGTATCATTTGGGCATATCGAGCTTGCGGGCTTTACAACGCTGTTTGGGCCGCTTGTTGGAGGTTAGGCATGCCAATTGGGTGACTAAGGCAAGTTCTTCCTCGCAGGTTGCTGTTCGAGAGGGGATGCTTGCAACTTTGCTCATTCAGTGGCTTGGCTCAATGAGCACACATTTTGCATCTATGCATCCTGGATTCTTCCTGGAGTTGGTTTGCTTTCCTTGCAGAGAGCGTAAGCTTCTCGATCCGAGGCCGGCGACTTAAAAGACCTTCCCGACTTCTCCAAGACAAGGCTTTGCGATCCATTCATGAAAAGTGTCCCGGATGAAGTTGCGAAGGCCCCGCCCGTAGATCGTAGATTTGCATTTGGTTAAGAGGTCTTCGTGGCCGTGACGGTTCATAGTTTGATCGGGGCTCCTGGGTGCTGCTGTCTCTCACCCGACCTTTCCAGCGTGGAGACTGCTTCAGATGACGAGGCGTCAATTGACAACTGGACACTGTCAGATCTGCTTAAGAGGTGAGAAAGGAAAAGAGGGAAAGGGGAGAGCGGGTTGGTGAGGAGGAGGCTGATGTCATGTGTCACTGAGTCTTTGTGCTCGTCTCTTATTTGTGCACCTTCTTTGCTCCACATATTGTTTGGTTTTAAGGACTAAGCGGAGAAGACTTCATTGACATGAAACGCTTGTAAGACCTGGGCCGACCCAGACAAAGGAGAACAACAATACATAGTCAACGAAGAACAATGTTTCACTAATTGTACGGTTGGTATAGAGGGAGGATCATGAACTGAAATGACATTCGAACTGCAACTGAGGTGGCGCCTGCGAGCATGGCACCTTAGCCGCAAGCTGCTTTCTGTTTTGTTTTGTCGGCTTTGCCTGCGTTTTGGGCAGGGGAAGGGCGTACTGCCACCATGGACCGCGCGCTTTTTTTGTTGTTGTTTGCAGGGCGCTCTCCAACCTGTGCAGTTTTCAGGTGATCAAAGCCAACCAAAACAAGTTGGATGCTGCTGGCTTTGCAGATTCTCTGAGGCACCAGCTGCAAGTTCGCTCATAGCCACGATGAGCTTCGCCCTAGCTACATCTCGTCAAAGGGCCGCCAGGCATTCAGCACTGCGCCGGCTAGGAGCTCGCAGGCAAGCACCGGAGAGAGAGCGGGCGAGCGGTGTGGGGGACAGGGGGGGGGGACCGGTATTTGGTGCGTGTTGAGTGTTTTGTTGCGTTCTTTTTCTATTACCGCGTGTAGCACCAGTTCTTGCCTGGTACTGGTCTCAGCTACAGGACTTGCAAAGGTGACCTCCTGCGAGGAGCTTATATGATAGTAACAGCTGTGAAGCCGGTCCCAATTTGGCTTTTGGACTGGGTTGAACCTGCAGTGAAATAATATCGATCTCGCGCAACGGTCATGTCTTGAAACCAGGTCTGTATGCAGCAGTTTGGCAGTTTGCAGCATGTCCATGTCAGGCCTCAGGCAGCGAAGATCCTACCGGTCCTACCCCACTGCCAAATTTGCCTCCGGCTACGAAGGCGGGCCTACTACACAGCGCTGCCATGTACTCGTTGATGCTGCAGGGCCTCCAGGTGTCGTCCGCATCCTCTGCCACCCCGAATCCGAATCCGAGCCCGAATGAAGCCGTGGTCACACTCTCCCCTTCCCCCAGAGAGATGCAGAGGGGCCGGGTGCCACAAAGGGGCATTCCCATGGAAGAGAAATCCAGGGAGATGGAGAAGAGTCTTCACTCGGAGATGGAGAGGAATTTCACTTGGAGCAGGCAGACCACTGCAGATGTGACAGAATCAGTGCGCTCCCGGACCCCAGATGACTTTTTTAGACAGACAACCGATGAGCGGCGGTCCTGCTTCTCTAGACAGACGACCGAAGAGCGGCGGTCCTGCTTCTCTAGACAGACGACCGAAGAGCGGCGGCCATGCTTGCCCCTCTCTCAGCTCCTCAGTTTGCCGGAGCCCGGAGAACACACCGACGCTTCCACGCATAGCAGGGCCGGAAGTCGCTCGGAGGATGAAAAAGAAGAGCTCCAGGTGCGGCTGAAGAACACCTTCCTTCATTTCGAGCCCGCAGAGGGTGCAGAGGCGAATGTAGGTTTCAAGAGGTCAGCTTCCCTTCCAGCTTTGCCTTGTGACCAACCAGAAGCTTCATTGGAGGAGCTCAAGGACAGTTCATGACCCCGAGCAAAAGAGCTGAGAATGGTAGATGCTGTTTTTTTTCAAGGTTCAAGGGGCATGAAGTCATGCCTACCTTGATGCAGTCTGGCCCACACACGGAAGGCCAAACCGCTGTTATGCGGTTCTCACCAGCCAGTGTTAGCTTATTCTTGCTGAGTGTTCCTTGTGTTAATTGTTCCGCCTGGCTTTTTGAGGGGCCACGACGCCTCTTGGAGTGTGGTGGCTGCTGCAATCTAATCTAGCAAAGGGCGTGGAGGATATGAACATTGATTTGTACTCGCTCTAGGAGTCAGGCCCCTGGTTGCACGATAGTTGCACTTGCGCTAAGAGTCTCAGGCCCTTGGTTGCAGGCGACCACCACGCTGTGTTTGAAGTGAATTCGACCCATTCCTTTGCTCTGAAATATTTGGGCTAATGCGATGCATTATGCGTTGAGCTCGCACCGGTTCTGAAGACCGAGCCGTCATGGCTAAATTTTGTTCTGCCAGGTAGCCCGTATTTCTGTGACCAACCGTTTGTGTAGGGTCACTCGTGCAGTGGCGGAACCCTTCCAAACTTGGGGAAAGCCACGGGAGGAACCAGATGCCCCAAAAGACTATTTCTCAGCGTGACGGAGGGGTTCTCCAGTGTATTTTCGCCCAGCTTCACTGCCAGTCGAGGCAATCAGGCACACTGCGGTAGGAACAGCCAAAGTCCCATGCTAACTCATGCAAAGAACCCTCCCACTCCGAGGGGAAGGCCTTAGTCGTTCTTGTGCTGGCCGTTTGGGTCGGTCATGGCAAGTAGTTCTGTGCTTCCAGCGCATTTTAGTCTTGCAGCGTTCTATGTATGCTATCTCGGATGCCAGACGGCAAAGCCCTGGCATGCAAAAACACTGCTGTTTGCCAAGACCGAGTGATTTGCTCTGAAGCCACTGTCAACCTGAGGATGGAGATGGAACCGCGCCGAGCCAGATGTACAGATGTGGCTCACACTTGCAAGCCCAAAAACCTTCAGAGCATCGGACAGACACAAAGCTTCAAGTAAGCACAGAAACCATTGACAATTTGCAAGCCTAGTTGCCGGGGTTGAAACGGCCAAAGAATACCACGGTGAATGCTTCGGCCCAAGTGGCAGGATGACGGCTTGCAGCTGGCTTGCACTAGTTGGATGCACGTTGTTTGCTGCCCCTCCTTTTTCTGTGTCTGGTGGAGCGCGGGTGTGGTGTGTGCGCGTGATTGATACGAATGCGCGCACGTCCGTACGTGTGCGTGAAGATTTGGTCAAAGGAAGTTGAGAAGGAACTCCCGTAGTACAGACTATTGAAAGGTAGCTTGCGCAGATAGGTAGCTTCTGAAGATTAGATAGCGCGTGCGAAGAAATAGCTCTTGCAGATAGCTTGCAGATCAGATGGCCTATGTGAAAAGGGTGCGTATGCAGATAGCAAGCGCGCAGATAAGATAAAGAAAGACTGAATGTCGCAGAAAAAGAGTGACCCTCTGCGGGTTTTGGTGGGTCCGCGTCGATATCAACCACCTCTGTCTCTACGCGTGCCGTGCGGGTTTGGCGCGGCCTCGGTGCCCGCCCACTGCAATAACAACGCGCAAATTTCTCAAGGCTTCAACTGCGTGCCAGGCGCAGCACTCTCGCAAGGTCAGGGAAGATTTCGTGGCAGGCGCAGCTTTTTGGCAAGGTCAGGTGTATATTTCGCGGTACCTGCAGGACTGAAGCAAAGTCCGTTTAATGCCCTCCCTGAGCCGCTGTTGCTTCTTCGTTTCCCTTTTCAAGTAAGTGGCGGGAAGAGCTTACTTGATGTGACTTGCGCCCGTTTGCCCCTTTAGAGGTTGTGTGTGTGTGTGCGAGGCCTCCACGCCGACATCTCCCAAGACCATGGGATGGGGGAAGAGAGCATGATGTCCTTCATCCACGAGCACTTAAACTGCATCCTGGAGCCATTCACGCGAAGCGCTACCTGCCTTGCAGCAAAAGTCTTCTCAGGTCCTACGTGCGTGCACAATAGAAATACGCCACCTATGAGCCTAACATATCAGGATGTTTGTTAGGGTATGTGTCCCGGATGCACCCTTGGACAAGCGCCGGTGCAAACCATTTATAGCCTAGGTCAATGATCTCCACGGCACCTCTGCGGCAAGACCCCAGCTAACTTGACGTGAGCTTTGCGGGGTAGTCACGTGACTTTGTCAAGATGTGTTGCCGGCAGGGGTGGTGAACCAACTCGTCCTCCGAGCAGAGGAAGCTGCATCCCATGGGCAGCAGTTACAGGAGACCCGACCTGCGGGGAACAGGGCGGGGACTTGGGGACTGCACAGGACCAGTCGAAATTGCTCAAGCTGGTGCAGGCAGGTTGGAGCCAGACGAGCTTCAGCCAGATCTTGAGGATGAAAGGGTTGCGAATTGACGGTTGCTCAAGTGCAGGGCGGCTTGTTTGGGACAGGCGGACATGAGAGCAACAAAGCAGAGGCTGCTAGATGTGAAGGCTGGAAAGATGGGGACAGGCCGTGCTTTTGCAGGCATTGCACGCCTGACAGGAAGGCCAAGAGAAGCAAGTTCAAGAGCTGAATGCTCAGCTGGTCTCTGTTGCCTCTGATGCCACCGAGGCTGGAAAGGGTCTCAAGCTTCTGTTTTTGGCCAAAGCAAGTGGCAGGCCAAAGGCCATTGCCTCCAGCTGGACCAAGAGCATCGCCAGAGCCGCTCCTTCCTTTGGGATGTGCAGCAAAGCAACGCTGCCATGGAGGTGGAGCTACGCAGACATGCGGCGGAGCTTGCAAGCGATGCTCGGATCCCCCAAAGCGCCAGCCGTTTGATGGCTTTGGTGTTTGTCAATGTCCTTTCCTCCGTATTGGACCCTTTCCGAGGACAAAGTGCAGCAGCAGTTGGATGCTGCATTGCGGGGCTTGCGCGCAGACGTGTCAAGCCTCAATCGAGGGCAGGAGGAGGCGATGGCATCTTTGGGCAGCCCGGCGCATGGTTTGAAGGCAACCCACTCGCGCTTGCGCATTTCCTTTCGGTTCGCTTGCATCATGGCACGCCATGGGCCAGTTTTTGCAAGCAGATCGCGTTTGCCTTGCGCGCTTTTCGCCTCAGGAAGTGCGCAAGAGCGTGTGGAAAAGTACAAGGACGAATGGGACACATTTCGAGAAAACTCTGGCTACCAAAGGCGGCAGGAGGAGATGAGATACTTGCCAGAAGTCATTTGCCTTTCCTTGGCTGCAGGTCGACAGCAACTTGTCCCTTAGGGTTGCACAAACAAGTTGGCTACTTCCCAAGTCAGCCTGTTTGATTCCCAGCCTGAAAGGTCCGGCAAGCAGCCTCATAGCTTGTGGCACCAGGAAAATCCTGGATAGGCCATGTGGAATTGCATCATATCCCGCGCGTGTTTTTGAATAATCAAACATTGTAGGTCATGACATGTCAGAACCATTCATATGGCCTTTCCCTGCTATGTCCGATTTGTGGGTGGGATGTTCAAGCACCCCGGTGAAAACACCGAAGAAGTGCAAAGGGACTCACCCCTGACGGATGCTTTGGAGATTGGAACTGCCAAAGCGTATCTCGTGCCTTGCGCTTGTACTGAAAGGTTGCGAGTGGGAGCTGCCAAAGTGTACTTTGCATGTATTGGAAAGTTGCGACGGCTGCCAAGTGCACCTATCCCCTTTGAACTTCAATTGGAGAATAGGCGGCTCGGAACCCCTTTCTTTCCACAAATCTATGGGCGGGGCCAATGGCCCCACTTTCTTTTGGGATTTTGGGAGGCCGGCCCTGTCCAAGCCGGCTACGCGTTTCAGTGAACCAGAGATCTGGTCCGCTGGTGAGAGGCAGCAGGTGTGTCTATCAAGTTGCGAAAATACGGGCAGATTCCCAGCCCATGTCCCGTTCGATCAGACAGCCGGCTGCTGTTGGAACAAACAACTTGTTCGGGCGCTTGACCCTTCACAACGCGCACTCGTTCGAGGAATGAAAGAGCTCCGGGGTGGTGTGCAAAACTTGGAGCGGGAGCTGCTGCACACGAATGCGCAGCTCAAGGGCCAAGCAGCGCAAGCCAGGTCTACCCATGAGGATGGCCCGGGGCCATGGCCAGCAGTTTCTGGGCCTTCCTTTAAGTGAGCGTTTGAGAGGTTCCCCAAGTTGCAAAGCCTCAGAGCCTCAAAAACGAGGATCTAGGTCAACGTGTTGCCTGAAGGTGCGAAGGTGCAGGCGAGTGCAGGGTGTGCTTTGGAATCCAAGCTGAATCCCGCAGGACCTGTCTACACTGATACGGCGGCATGAGCAAACCATGAGGATGCAGGTTGTACAGGAAAGGCAGCAGCAGGAGAGCATCTCGGCAACAAAGACCGTAGGGACGCAATCGGAATGGGATGTGTTCAATACTTGCTTCGGCCTATTATGCTGGGGCCCCGTGCCGCTCGCCCTTTGGTTTCCTTGTGCCGCCGCTGACCCGGAGGGTTAAGCAGTTTAGGGCCATTTTCTGCGAAGCCAAGGGCTTTAAAGTGACAAGTTGTCTAAGTAGTCATGCGGATGGCCCTTAGTATCCCTTAGTGATATCACACAAACAGTGAGTTTCGAGTATGTTGGTGATAAAAGACTGCATGAATACATTAATGTTTATCAGATGAGGCCAGATACGCAGATGAGTGATATTGTTGTTGCCCAGCAGACTCCAGAGAGTACTCTCGGGAGAAGAGAACCCTAAGTCAACGGTGAAATAGCACAGCTAGCGTTGGGGAGAAATCAATGCGTTTTTTTTCCATGTAGTTAACTGTTAGGGAGGTAATCGAAAGTTTTTCAGTCAGAGAGCCTCAGCATATTAACACACACAAGTTCAGAGAAAAGTCAGTTCAGAGGCTGGAGTGGATCACAATTTCGCGCATGGGCCCGCCTAAGTTCATTTTCCGGAAAGCATTGCGAAGGGTTCTTTTGGACAAGTCGCCAGCCAACTCCCGCCAGCGCACTTGCACGATCAAACCTTCTGAGGGGTCGGCGTGGTCGATGTGCAAGAGCCAAATCTTTGCTACTTTTCAGGTTTGGTCGAGGTGCAAAAACTGAGGACGCCAGCTACTTTTAGCAGGCTTCGAATGCGACTCTCCGCAGGACTTGGACTTGGCGTGGTCAACGTGCACAAACTGAACTTTGCAACTTCCGAAGTTGCACGCGTTTGCGTAGAAAAAAACTTGCGCAGAGCACTTGCGCAGAGCAACTGGCACAGAGAGCACTTGCGCAGCGCAACTTGCACAGAGCAACTTGTACAGAGCACGTTTCAAAGAACACTTCCACAGAGCACTTGCGCCAAACAACTTGCACGCTTGAATGAGCAAACTCGCGAGAGGGCACTTGTGCAAGAAAATCTCGCACGAGAGATTAAGATTAATATGTGCTTGCAGTGTCCTTGGTGCACTCCATATCGCGCACACAAACCAGGACCGCATTTGACATCATGCTCCGCGCTTGATATATGTTATGGTGTTGTCTACGGCTTGGGGCCCCCAAGCCCCCACATCAAGCTCGCCCCTTGAGGACGTCCCAGAAAGACAGCAACTCGCCAAAGCCATGCCAACTGGCGCTTTTTGTTGGCCGCCTTAGAGAAGGGGCTCCCCAATTCCCCAATGTGTCCCAGGAACTTGGCACATCCAAAGGTAAGGCAACAGGGAAATGTAGCGGATGCTCCTGGGCTGGTTTGTCTGAGGCAACGAGAGGCAGGCAGCCTTTGAGCAGCGCCTTGAGCTGCTGAAGGCGTGCTCGGAGTGCTTTGCCGGCCAAAGCTGAGGCATGCCACAAGTGCCCGTTGACCAGGTTTCTGCAACAAGTGTTTGATTTCTTGATGACCCTGTGAGTGACTTGCATGAGCAACCCACTCTGCAGGCGGATATTCAGAATGTCATGGAGAGCTTGGGGCTGACAGAAGGAGCGGCTGAGCTTTTGGGGCACAGCCAGTGGACCGTACTTTTCCAACCTCCGACCACCCCCCATCTCAATCCATCTCACCTGGTTTATGCGCAAAAAAAAACAGGCTGGGGTCGCAAAACAGGGTCCCTAGCACAGCCCTGCAGCAGCTGCAACCATTGAGGGGCGGCCACTAGGAGCAGCCAACTTGGTGGAGACGGTGCAAAGGTTGAAAGAGTCCTCGGCCCAACATGAGGATAGCCCCATGCTTGCAAGAAGCATATCGCCTGCTAGGCGAGTGTTGCTGCAAGTGAGCCATGAGCATTTGTTTGTATCATGGCTTGACTCCAAAAAACAATGGAGTCGATACTTGCGTGCCATTCGAATCATTTGAATCATTCGCGACTGCCAAGATGTGTTTATGTAGGAGGTTGTTTGATCTTGCTTCACGATCTTGAGCAACAGCAACAGGCCGGAATGACTGAGGCTTGCAGCTGCTTTGCCAAGAAAGTTGTGACCATGCAAAGAACATCCATGGCCTTCAGCTCCGAGCAGAAGCTCGGAAGCACTAGACAAGGTTGAGCTGGGCGAGCCGCATCGAACATAAGGATGCTGCAGACGAAGCGGCTGGAGCGTTGCAGGATGAGGACAAGCGGATTGAAGAGTCGATGTTGCAGAGCATCGAGAAGCTGCTGCCAAGCTTGATTGGATCGCAGTTATGGCGAACATTCACTAACAGTCACTGGAAAGCGGCAACAAGTACTATCACTTCGCTCAACTCAACAAGTCAGCTTGGGTTACCATGCATGAGTTCCAAGGCGCAACTCATTCTGTGTCAACGAGCAGCTCGGCGCAGCCCATTTGCAGTTAGGTCGATGTGTGTTGCTTTTGCATGAAGGCAGCGTGACCAAGAGCTGTTCCAAGAGGAAGTGCGGGCAAGAACCAAAGGGCAGCTTGGAAGCCAATAGAGGGTTGTCACAGGTGAACACCCCCATCCTGACAGTTTTCCTCATTCCAACGGCACCCGCAGGGATGAAGAATGCCTTGCCGAGCTGAAAGCCCAACAGAAGGAGCATGGACCCGTGGTTGGTTGGTTGGCCAGTTGGTCCGTTGGGTGGTTGGCTCGTTGGCAGATGCTGTTGTTTGTGCTTGCTCCACTTGGGGGAGGGGGGCCTGCGCCACCCGAAGCCTCTTTAAATCCATGCGAAACCCACCCAAGACTCAGGCAAAAACCGCCCAAAACATACGCTAAACCCACCTAGGCCAAGCAGCCCAAAACCAACCCGCAAGCAAACCTGCCCCCAACAAACTTTGACAAAGCAACACCAGGCCTGCCCAACAAGTGTGTTTCTGATGCCAAGTACTGGAACTCTGAACTGCGACCAAATCAAAGCCCACAGGCAGCCTAGTTAAGAGCGAGGCCGGTGATGCTGGGGATGCGGCTAACCAACTCCGACCCACTGCGAACACAAATCACAGCCATCAGGCAGCAAGTAGATGCTATAAACCTGTTAGAGGCGCCATATTTTCAGAGTTGTTCTTGTATATGCTTGCTTTTTTGCCTCACCCATTTTGAACGCATTTTCAATCTCGCTGCATTTTGAAACCCTTTCGGAGCTTCCGGCCCCTTGCCTGCTGTTTGGCGGCTGCCGTTGATCTGAAAGGCTTTGCAGGGACCCCGGCGCACGTGCTAAGTAAACAATAAATCCTCCAGCCAGGTTACTCTTCCAAAACACTTGTTGCAACTTGATTAATAGTATGTACATTGGGTCGATTGGGAAGTCAGAGGGGGTGTTGCGCAACTTCGATATGCCTGAACCAGGGTAAAGAACAAGAGCTTGGCTGGTCTCAGGAAGCTATGAAGCCATCGCTTTTTTGGGTGCCGAACAGCGGCAGGAACGACCTGCCATGCATTTTGAGAGCTGCCTCACAGGAGTCCACGCGCTTGCAAGACTTGCTCAACAAGCTGGGCTTGGGCGTGGCCGCTGGTATGTGAACCGGGCAGCCGTGGGGGATCGCACTGCCCTCCAACCGTAGCTGACAGGAAGAAGGTCTTTCTGGGGCCTCTCCATGGGGCATTACATATGGCCCAGGTTCTGAGCTTCTTGTGGGTTTCCGGGCCCAACGATTTAGAAGTTTGGTGCTGAGGACTCGTGCACAAACAAGGTGCAGTCGCTGGAGAAGAAGCTGGCTTCAACCGAGGCGAGATGATGTACTGGCTTTTTCCGATTCGGTCTACCTTCAAATCATCCTAACAAGTTGCCTCAAGAAACACACACCTCCTCAGATTGTTGTAGAGATCCCCTGTTTTTCTGTTTTTTTGTTTTTGTGGGGGGTGGGGGAGGTAAAATGTGCTCTGGCAAGGACCAGCTCTCCAGCTTGGGTGGCTCAATGGACTTGACCCAGGAGCCCATCAGAGGGGCTGCAGTTCGCTGTGGCCAAGTCAGGCTTGCATGAAATTTTCAAGCTTGACAAAGCTTATCCACACCAATGCACGTACATGGTGGAGGCCGGAGGCAAGCAATATGTCAGTATGTGCTGTCTTGTGACCTGAAGTTTGCATGCATTGCAAGGAGTACTGGAAGGGCTTGACCAGGGGCATCCAAGAAACGCACCGTAAGGTCGCCTCCACCGCGGCTCGGCCGCAGAGCAATCCATCCGGCAGTCCGAGCGACATGCGATGCCGAGGAGCGCGTGCCGCTGAAGAGCCCGCGGGCCGAAGAAACCCAGCCCCAGAGGCGGCGAGTGGAAATTTGTTGCTGATGTTTCCCATGTCGGAGATATTTATGTGTGGCATGCTTTGCATTTGTTGTCAGGGGCTTGGGAAGAGGATTGCCGGCTCTGACTAAGACGGCTGGAGCTGGCAATTGAGATAAACAAAAAACATAATATATTATAAAATTATAAAAATGTATGTTTTTCCTTCTAAACCGGTGCTCCGGCCGAATCGTCGTGTTTGTGGCGAATAGCTGTGTTTGTCTTATAATGTTTTATAGATATTTTTCTCACATTTTAGGTTGTCGATGATAATTTATTTATTATTATATTTAAGAATTTAAAATAATTATTTATTATTTTTTCTTGTTTGTTTTGCTTATTTTGGTTTTTACATTTTACATACATTTATGTTTGATTATGTATTGGAATTATGTTTATTTTATATTTTAATTATAATTTATTTTTTGTATATAATTTTATTTTGCATTTTGTTGGAAAATAATGGTTTAAATTTAAGCTTTAATAATTATATTAAAATATACTTAAAAATACAAAATAATATGTAGTTTTTATTTTAATAATTTCTTTTAATATATTTATATATATTATTAAATAAAAATATATATATTTTAAAATATAAATAATATATAAAATAAAAATATATAAATATATATATAGTATTAATAAAAAATTATTATTATTTTATATTTTAACATATATAATAAATTTATATAGATATATTTTTAATAAAATTAATTAACCAAATACGATATAATATAAATGGATGTAAAAAAAAAAAATCAATTAACCTATAAATTATTAATTTCAGAAAAATCCAACCCTATATAAAATTATTATAACACACATAATTATATTATCAACTAAAAAAAAAGTAAATGCAAACAATTATTAATCATAACAATCGATTTTTATGCTGCCAAATTTTCATAAACCGAATACAACCCAAACAATAATAAATCATCTAAATAAAATATCATAAATACATTCATTCCATAATACACCATACCAATACAATTTCGATAAACATAAATAATTATATTCGAATCTCTTAACTATCATTAAACTGCTCTAACTTAAAAAAATCCAATCTATATAATCTAAAATATCTCATTTAAAACCTTACTCTTAAATATTACATACACCTAAGCATAAAATCCTCCAATTTCCATCAAAATTATTCTAACTCTTTCAATATCATAAAAATACTAAATTTTCTAAATTCTACTAATCAATCTTCATAATATCAACAAAATTTCATATGTTCATAAAAAGGTGTTATCCAATACCAATTTCAAATATATCGATAAACAAATAAATAAACAAACAATCAAACAAAAACAAAAACAAACACACAAACAAAATCAAAAAGACAGAAACAAGAGACAAAACAAAAACAAACACAGACACACAGACACAAACACATAGACACACACAGACACACACAGACACACACAGACACAGACAGACACAGACAGACACAGACAGACACAGACAAACACAGACAGACACAGACAGACACAGACAGACACAGACAGACACAGACAGACACAGACAGACACAGACAGACACAGACAGACACAGACAGACACAGACAGACACAGACAAAGAAACAAAGACAGAGACAAAAAGAGAGACACCTCCGGCGCACAGCGCGCCGGATTCTGATGTCGATATGCCACAGGCTTCGCCTGCGCACGTTCACGCGTCCGACTCCAAGCCCGAGGCTGCAAGTCTCCCGGACAGAGCCGGAGGCTGTAAAGTATATATATATAAATATATGAGTGTCTTTTTCTTAAAAACATAAATGTATATATATATATATATTTCAATATTTATACTAAAACCTAATTATCCCAAAGGGATCACCATATATATATATATAATCATGAAATAAATATAATTAATATTGGAAAGACAAATACACTCAAAATGATGTTGTAACAGCCTGTCATATGTTTTTTGCAATTAGACCGTTGGCAAACGGATGGCTTGCAAGCGCGCCGTGTTCGCTCGGCATAAGGAGCACCGGGAATGTGGACATGTTAAATATTGCCCTTTAGGGAACTTGCACTGAACTTTGCAATGGACTTGCCGAGCCTCCAGGACACTCAGTCTCCGTCCTTGCCATTGGGCCGGTGCGCCAAGAAAGCGCCCCAGAGCTTCACTAGGCGACATGAAGCTATGTCAAAATGAGTGTAGAGTTGTCCTAAACACACTTAAGAACAAACAAACACATTCACGCCAATTGGCTGTCTAAACTGTGGTTTTGGCAAAGGTAGCAAGACAAGGCCTGATAAGGAGCCAAGCTGCGTCGGAGACACCCTGCAGCCCGCCCTAATGCACAACACTCTCCGCTGCACGCAACGCATTCAAGCATGACACACAACTCAGGCATCTTTCCAACCAGAAGTTTGGGCAGGACAAATTTTGGCCTCCCTTGACAGATTTGGGCAACAGGAGCACTTATTCGGGGTGCTTGTGTTCACCTCTTCCATGAGCCAAGGCACAGTGTTTGACTTGGCCAGCCTGAGGCGGCCCGCAGCAACTGACTTCCTGGCAACCAACCCAAGCCTGCCTCTCTACGGGAGTTCCTTCGGTGTCCCTGTAAAACAACCAAGAGAACCCTTAAAAAAAAGCATATCTATTGCGTAAACCGCACAATTTTGCACTTTTTCCCGGGACAATTCTGCCTTGAGGAAAACATGCTCTCATTACAATTTTCTGGCTGACGCAGACTTGAAACACCAAGGCAGGAGGTGGTGCTTGCTTTTGCGGGGCTAGGCATTGTTGATGCCACAAATTGAAAGCAAACTTCAGGGAACAAAATGCCACGGCTTTATGCTTGATTAGGAAGCAGGGTCGCTGAGAAATGAATGAATCAAGCCTGAAGATTCTCTGGGGCAAGGCAAGCATGATAATAAACCTGGGATCTATTATCAGCTTCTGTGAGATCAAGCTTGGATTTGGTTGAGGTTTTCAGGCCCCATCTATCCTGAAGCGCCCAGCTCCACGTTGTACGCTGGAAGCCGCGTCGGAAACCGCTGGAGAGATGGATTTGATCCGGTCGACCTGGCGCAGTCTCTTAGACTAGGTCTTGCTTGACATTTGCGGGACATATGTCCACAAAGTCTTGCAGCTCGGTGCACGCAAATTGCACAAAACCGTTGGGTTGGAGAGGGAAAACCGTGTCTTGATGCCAACCTGACCTGAATGACAAAGCAAACCACAAAACACAATGGCGTGTGCCTGTGTTGCTCCCAAAAGTGAAGGATCCCTTTCAAAGAGTGGCCACGACTGTACAAATCAGCCAGGGGTTGCTTGCTCCTGGGTTCTCATGGGGTGATGTTGCACAAGCGTTTAGGTGCCGCAAAGTCTGAGCTCCGTGCAATGCTCTTGCGCCTCAGGCCGGACGAGTGCACGCGACTACGAGTGGATGAGGCGTGGCTTCCCTGCGAATCTAGAATGAGGCTTTGCATGTCAGGAGTTGGATTTGCAAGTGCCGGGTCTGTTCATAGTCTCATGGTTGCCATTCCAAAAAGATGGCAAATCAGCTACTAGTAGTCCGAAACGGCAGAATTGCTTCTATGGTTTTTTGAAACAAAAGTTGGTGGGGTAAATGAATGACAGGTAAACGTGAAGGAGTCGAGAAACCGCTGAACAGGAACCGTTTCCGAGCTTTTGCCAAGGGTTTCACTTGGCCTCTCTCCCGAAGCGCCGAGCAGTCGACAAATTGTTGGCTCATTGGGGCATTTGTCGAAGCAACATCTTTGTCCTTCACTGAGATCCAAGTCTGGCATGCCAATCGAATTGGTTTTGTTGTTTGTTTGATAGAACACTTCGTTATAATGTTCAACTAGCTCTTGCCCCGCTTTCTAGCAGGGAAATTCTGATGATTGGCATCGACAAAACGCCAATACGGGAAAATCTGCGAAGGGGGGGGACCTCATTTTGACTAGCCAGTCGGCTCGTCCTATCTTGCGGAGCTAAGCCCCTGTCCCTGGCGCAGGCGTCTGCACCATGGAGGGCTCTGTGTCCACCGCCACAGCTGGCTCCGCCCCTGAATGGACTGCATCAGACCGGAGGAGGATCCACATGTTAGGTAAATGGGCAATGGTCTTCTTTGCTTTTTCTTCCTTCTATTTTTCTTTTGGGCGCGGGGGGGGGGGGGGGGGCGGGTGAAAATGTCCAACAATTTGGGCATCTTGTCTTACACTAGGGGGCCAACGATGCCCACACGTTGGATCCAAGCAAGAGGCTTACCCGATCCAACTCTACATCAACAGCTATTTCCACGGGACCACCACGAAAGAACCAATTCTTGGTAGCTGCCCAACAAACCGCGTCAGTGGTTTGGAGCCATCACACAAGCCCGACCATGTGAGTGACCCACCAGGGTCGACTCATAATAAACTTCTCGCATTGGTTTTCTCGCGCGCCTTCGCCTTGACGATCCCGGGGAACCACCTTGATGTTTCCAGCCATGAAGGGATTGGACTGCACGCGTTCCACCATGGACATGGTGGCCTGAGACTCCGAGACGCAAACGGCCATAAGTTCTGCCCGTGGATTCAAACGATTTCAACCCTTTAGCTGGTCAAAAGCTGGAAGCGAACCATTGGGAATGATCCCTAGCTTTGACAGGTGGGTTTGTGATGGGCCGCTTTGCTTCTAAGCGCAGCACGTCCGGCTGCGTAAAGTGATCAACAAGCTTCTCAACGAGCTCCTGGCCGTACACATAAGCTTGTCTCTTCTCCACATGGCAAGCCTCCGAAATGGGTGGTTTCACACACACAGAAATAAAATAACCTCCAAAACCAGTCACACAAGGCAGGCTCAAAACCACACCATGTGTGCGAATTCTAGACATGCGCATGAGCGCTTGTGCCATCTTGTTCCCTTGTCTACTGCTGGCCGAGATGCTCCAACTTCAAAGACCAAGCGCTTATCCAATCCAAACCTAAGACATGGGTGACACAAACAGTCGATTTTGGGGGGGATCGGCCGACCATCTCGAAACGGCCAATCGCGAGGGCTGGCGGCATTCAGTAGAGAACAATCTCACGAACCATGCCAGGCAGCAACGTTTTCCAGCTTTTTTTCGGTCGGCCGCTCGCCCGCCCCCAACCCACGAAAGGCACCATCAAAAAAGGACACTTCCATATGTATACAAATTTACAAACACATGATCTTGCTATACGAAACCCCCTCTCTCAAAAAAGGGGCAAGCCTCATGAACTAAACTACAAGCTAAACGCCGACTTTGCACAATGGAAGTTGCATCAACAGATCAAAACGCATCTCTGGGTCAAGAGGCTGTGTAAGTCGGTCGCTGGTGGCAGCGGACAGGCCCGGGATGTCATGCACGCTGGCGATGAGTTCCTCAAGGGGTGCAAGTTAGGAGATGAAACACTGCTGCATGCAAGTACAACAACCCTGGTTTACAGCAAAGGTTTAGACTGGCTGGTGGTATGCCACATATGAGAAACAGGACATGTGAGAATTATCCTACGTACACTCTAGCCTTAAGACTGACTACAAACGCTTGACCAGCTCTCATTTTTTTTTCCCTGGCCAGCCTCTCAAAACGTGGTCGAAATGGGCAAAATTGTGGGAAACGAGCAGGGCCTCAATATGGGAAGCAGATTTGCAGCTGTTTGAAAGCACTAAAAGTGCTTGATTGAGAGTTGCTTCAATCTTCAAGCTAGAGTCCAAGGGGGAAACGTTCAAGCGAACAACTGTCCTTTTTTGTTGGGGGGACGTGATGGAATAATATCTGAATCTGTCGTGGAGTATCTTCAATCTTCGAATCTTGTCCAGGATAGAAATGAAGGAACACAATGACAGGAAGTGGCTTGAAATAGTTAAGTTTTGTCCGGGGGAGCAGGTCCATCCGAAGGGAGGTAGCATAGCTATATTTTATAGCTAAATACCTGTAGCGTGAAACAACACCCGAACTGATGGCAGGGTCAGCCAATGCAACATGTACGCGCATAGATGCATCAACTTTGCCAACACAGCTTTGTTACAGCGTCAATGATGCACAATGAACTACCACGCGAACCCATGCATGGACGTCAAAGAGCATGGCAGACATCCTGCCACAGTTCTGATGACTTCCGTGGGCCCTGACCAAAGCTCTAATCTGCCGCTTGCATCTTGCCGGTACCTCAGGCCATGCCTAAAGCTGCCAAGGCGCGTACTTCTTCTGGAAGCCCAAGTAAATCAGCGCACCCAGTGACTGAAGATTCCTGCCGGATCTTGGTTTTGCCCCGGAAGATGTGCTCGCTCATTTAGCTGCACAACAACTGCTGCAAATAATCTCCACACATGCTGAGAAGGCTGGGAAGGTTTCTACAGCATACGTTCATAGTACTGATGTGTGTTGCGTTTCCCGGTGACTGAAAGAGGCTGGTGCTCCTTGGCTTTGTAACCATCTCAAACAGCATTTGCACGTGCGCAGTCCGCTTGTTTTTCAAAATCAATCCCATCAATCAAACGACAAAACAATCAAACAACCAATAAATCAAAGAATGAATCTACCGACAAACTCAACGACCTCCTCGTTTTCATCTGTTTGGAATTGGCTGAAATGAGTCTGCAACACACGAGCCTGTTTGCCCAGGCCTCTTGCCGCGTTCTGCTCCAACACTGGCATCGCCCTCCAGTGTCCGCACCCAGCTGGCGAATAAACCTCCCAAGAGCGCTCCTCGGAGACAATGAGCTGGAGTTGCATTACACCCAAACTGGGTGCAGGTCAAAGGTGGCTGGCTTCACAGGGACATGCCACGTACTCTCCTGCAGATGTTCATGTAATCCAAACTATGCCTTTTAGAGGAATCCATATCATCTTTTGTCATCTGTATTCTACCAATCTGCTCTCTCTTTATTCATTGTTGCATTTCGTTTATCATTCCAGGTCCTCTTGTTTCTTTCCTATGTATCTATCCATCTATCTCTTCTTCCTTCCCAAATCCGAAGGTGTTACACGGCCGCTGGAGAACTTGATGTAGGAAGCGAAGGGAAAGGTGGGGAGATGGCGGGCTATGGGGAGATAGCGGGCTAATCTTGGTTCTCTTTCCCATCATATGACTTTCCAATCTTTCTTTTTACGTTCAATATGTTTATACAGTCTGGCGGCTTGTCGGGTAGGTGTAGGAGATAAAAGGAAAATTGAGCTAAGTGAGTTCTTTCCAGCGGTTACACATGATATCCTCCTCCTTCGTCTCTTGTCCGATTCCGTTCTTGTTATTCATTGGGATTAGACAAGGAACGGGAAACAAATAGAGACTCAATAGGGACTCAATAAACATCCAACAGTAAAAATCTGGAGAAGAGCGGAATTCCTGGAGAGACAAATAACGGAGAGGCATGGGAGAAAAGACTAATTTGCTCACGTCCCTCTCTCATTTGTCTCTCTGTCCCTTCTGAACAATAACCAAATTGTCTTCATTCCAAGGCTTTTATTATTTCTCATTGATGAGGGCTTCTCTTCTCTCATAATCTCCTTTTCATTTAGATGAGCAGAGGTGGATTCACACAAACGAAAGGAAGCAAACACTGGTTAATCGCTTTCCCGTCTCTTTCTATTCCCGTCATAGGATTTCCAAGATCTTAGTGCAAGGAATGCCAACTCATCAACTCTCCCTTCATTCGTCTCTTGGAGTTTGTAGCAAAGGAATGCGAAATCACATCTTGGAAACAAAGGCCTTTCCTCTTGACATCAATTCCCTTTCTTTTTGGCTTCGCGAGATGTAAATAAAGAGAAAGACAGGAAGTCACATAAAGACAAACACATATTACAATAGAAATAGGAATGCTGAAGATAGGAACGTGCCAAAATACCCTGTCATTCACTCACTTTCCAACAGTCCCTCACCCAATGGAAGGATTCCTACGTCTGGCTTGCTCAAGAGGCATGAAATAAATATTCACAAATCCGATAATCAGAAAACATTAAAAATGAACGGACCGTGATATAATATGTCTCCTCTACTTCTTCTTCTTTTTCTTCCTGTTTCTTAATTAATTGAATCTTCCAACCAAGATATTTCCAAGAAAAACTTTCATAAAAGAACCGTATTCAAAAGAAAAGATAAAGCGAAGAAAACAGAACGAAGAAGAACACTAGCGCATTCTAGCATTGTGTGAGATCTTACGGGCTTCTTTCAGGTCTCTCCACTACTCACCCACCCCCTCCACCTCTATCTCTCCCCTCACCAGGCATTTGCTTCCACAATCTCATTTGCAAGCTGGTGATGTGAGGGAAGGGATGGACAGATCTCTACAATGCCAATGATAATCAAAGGACTAATTTGATGGATTAGTATCTGAAGGGGATCTTGTTCACTCACCCGCTGCCATCTCTGTCTGGCTCCTCTCTCAAGTCAAAAAGGCAAGGAATGAGAGAGTGAAAGAGGGAATAGAGACTCAGGACAATATAATTTGATTGCTTTCCCTAATCAAGAGATTTCCACCGGAAAAACCTCAATCATAGTGCTGTGTCTATAGGTGAGTATCTCTTCTTTCGATATCTTTCTCGTCTCTCTTTCTCTCTCTGAATCCTAGGATGAGCAACATAATTGAGGATTATCAACTAGACAGCAAATAATACAGTGTGTGTGTGTGTGTTTGCATGAGCGAAAGGAAGCGAACCGAGAGAGAGATAACATCAAACAATCAACACTTGATGAACTAGACAGGCCAAGGGAAAAGGATAAGGTGATAGAACCTACGTGGCATCTCTTTCTCTTCCATCAAATATTTACTCTTCATTCTGAACTGCTATCTACTTCTAGCACGGTATTTCTCTATTATTTACTATTTTCTGTGTACCGTCTCGAACAGCAGCTCAGATGTGGTTGAAGAGTATAGAACAGGTTAAACAACCGGGAAAGGTCACAAATGAACCCTGTACTCAGCGCGCTTTTTCCTTGAGCCATACGCAGTCGTAATGATGAGACTGCGCAAGTGAGACATTCATGCATTGGGGTTTTACCTGGTTGATAAATACATCACGTTGCAAACTACACCCCCCGTGCCCGAATGTGAAACAGGAGGACAAATGAAAGGGATGAAGCAACCAAAGAAACCCGATCGGCATGAAGTCCTTTTGCAGTACACAAGCACTTGGATACGAGCAATCGGCAGTTAAGGTCTTCCGCCTCCACTGACCGTCGCTCTCGCGAGGCGTGCTCATGCACTGTACATTGATCCTCGGCCAACATGGATTGAGAAGTATAATGAATATTGAATTTGAAATGTAAATGGATGTCAGCCGAAGATTGAAAAGATTGTTGAAGAGATCGCTCATTCATCGCCAATCCCAATTGCGGGAGCTCTTCCACGGGCGCTGATCATCAGACCACCACGAGTCCCAGGATTGGCCCCAGCTTCCCCAGTACGACTGGCTCCATTGACGATCCTGCCATTGGCCACCGGTCTCCCGGAGCTGCGGAATGGGCTTGCGCGTCACACCGACAACTTCAGGGAGCGGGGTGGCTCGTCCAGGGATCTCGATGCTGGGGATCCCCTCTTCGACGAAGCAGAGCAACTCAACCAATACCATTTCGGGGTCTCCCACAGACGAGAAATCCCGGGTCCAGCCCATCACGGGGTAGCGGTTGCTCTTGTCAAGGCTTCCATACAATGCAGCAAATTGTTCTGGTTCCAGAAATCTGCCACCATGCACCACATACACGTCCTTCGGATCAACCTCCTGCACGTCCTCCGTTGGCGGCACCAGCGTTAGCCGTGCGTGATATTTCGGCACAGCAACGCTTCCTTGGATCATTTCCTTGGTTCTCCCGAAACTCGGAATAATGCATCGTGCCACCTTCTCGATAAACTCGAGGGCGGACGGCGTCAGGTCTCCCCGCGCGGCAGTGTAGGCGTAGAAGGGGTCGTTGATCAGCCTCTCGTACAACGTGGTGTACTCCTTGTTGCGAAGAACTGCTTTCTTGGCGATGTCCTTCATGATCCCGAGGCCCCCTCTTGCGCTTCGATCCCCCCGCGCATCCTTCCGCTGCGTCAATATCTGAGTCTCAACCTGGTCCATGGAAAGCGGCACGCCCAAGCTGTTGGCCATCTCCTGCAAACGGACGACCCTGGCTATTTTCTTGATATCGGGCATGCGCTCCATGAGATGGTCACACTGGAAACAGTTGATGGTGCCGACCGGGATGAGGATTTTGCAGCGCGGGCACTCAACGTCGGGGATGTGCATGACCTCCGCGAAGCGCCAGTTGGTCGACTTCTGCTTGTTGGGATCCAAGTCCTGCCACAAACCACTCCGGCCTCGGGTTTCCCCGGGCTGCTGCGTCACAGCTCGGGCCCAGTTTCTGTAGAGGCCATAGCGGGCGGTCTCGAATTCAAGCGCGACCTGCTCTTCTTTCGGGAGGTTCTCGTCGTAAAAGTCCCTGACCTTCGTCACATTGCCAATGCGGTGGGGCCGCGTCATGTCGCGGCACGCTGTCGGGGCCCACTGTTTGTAATAGAGCTTACACTCCTTCTCGGCCTTCGCCATGAACGATTCCAGCACTGGGGTCCCGACAACGCCCTTCTGGGTCTCTTCCCGATACTTCTTGATGCTGTCCTGGTAATTCCGTCTGACGCTGACGTACATCCGGTTAGACCAGATAAACTTTGCACATTCAGCGTCATAGGCGTAAATGAGGACCTTGTTCGTGATCCAATCCTCCGTCACCAGGGCTTCCCCGTCTCCGGGTGCGTACAGCCGACATCCCAATTGGATCAACATCTCCACATCGACGGCGATGTTGATGGGTCGGTCAGCACGCGCACCCCCCGCCTTCCGGCCATGCCTGTCCCAAGGAGGCACTACCGTTAGGTAGGCGTGACCACGCGAGGTTTGCCGGTCTCCCATTCCGCCCGGAAAGATGCCCATGTAGATGATGTCAAAGAAATTCTGCATGTTGCACGTGTGGTAGGCGATTTTGGGCAGCGCCTTTCGGCGTGCGTCCGAGAAATCTTTGCAGAAGCCCGGTCGCACACCCTTCTTTGCGTGCTCAATGGTGTAATTGACATCCATTGCAATGGGATCTCCAGGAATATTGTCAAAGCCGCTGGCCTCGGTCACCCAATCGTTGTGGCCGGTGAACGCGCGAATGCGTAGTGGCATGAAACTGAGCCCGTTCCATTGCTGCCCGGCCGGCGCGTACTCGACATAGACCTCGAACCGATTCGATGTGGACGTGGCCTGAAGAAGAGTGTATTGGGTGCAGTTCCAGTCATATCGACGTTGGATCCATTTGGCGACGGCTGCGTAGTCGAAGGAGTTGTCCTTGAGATTGATCTCAGGGATGGATCGCGTCGCATGTTCGTGGGCATGTCCGCGAACCAAATACGACACCTTCTTGCTCAAGAACGTCCTTCTGCCATAGTTCTGGATCTGGGGAATCTTGATTCCTGAGCACTTGATCCACTCCCTCTTGGGTTCAGCAGCCTGGCCACGGGTCTCCCCGGGCTTTCCAGCAGCTTTGGAAACTGCCTTCGCCTTGGGGGTGATCTCCGGGCCACGGATCTCTCCGGGCTGAGTCTTGCTGGTCCCAGCCACGGACGCCTGATCGCTGGATGAGGCAGCCTGCATTGGCATTGCCTTTGATTTCACCTTTGGTGTCGCAGCACTGAGAGCTGCAGTCATTTTGTTATGACTTTTCCGCTTGGAAGTGAGGATGAGCTTGATTTGGC